CGATATGGTAATAGCCCCTGGTGCCCTCACAAAGAATATTACAGGAAATCTGTGTTTTCCACTGTCTCTGTGAATAGGAGGTGAGGTCGTTTTGTTTTATTTTCCAAGTCTGTGCATTTGGTTAATATGTCTCCTACAAGACCTTGTTATTCCTGTCTCTGTCCACTGATCTATTGAGAGCAATATGTTATTGTTTTCTACTTTCATTATTTTTTATTTATCAATAAATATATCTATATCTATAACTTATTTTAAGTGTTTGTCCTCTATGTTTGATCTTTAAATTTAGTGTTTTTATAAACCAACTTAAATATTAGTAATTATATTTGTCTTTAACTTTTTATTTTGTTTTTTAATTGAAACATACTGACATTATGACTGTGCAGATTTAAGGTGTGCAGCATGTTAAATCAATACATTTATATATTGCAGTATGCTTGCAATTGTTGTATAATGAGCACCACTATAATGTCATATAATGATCTTTCTTTTAAATAGTTAGAATCATTAATTTGTAGTCTCTCTGCAAGTTTGATGATTATAACTCTTCAACATTTTGTTGTCTATATTCACTATTCTGTGTGTTAGATATCTAGAGCTTATTTACTACTTGTTACAAGTTTCTATCATAAACATCTGTCCTATATCCCCAATCCTATTCCCTAGAACTCAATAATTCACTTCTTGTTTTTATGAGGTTGACTGTTTTAGATTTTACAAATAAGTGAGATCATGCAATACATGTCTTTGACATGTCTTTGAAATGACATGCAGTACCTTACCAAGCATAGTGCTCAAGGCCCATCCATGTTGTTGCATATGGCAGGGAGCCCTTTCTCATGGTTTAATAATATATATACACACACATGTCCACACATTCATACACAAATATCACATCTTCATTCATCCATTGATGGGCATTCAGGTTGCCTACGTATCTTGGCTATTGTGAATAATGCTACAATAAGCACGGGAGTGCAGGTATCTCTTTGTTATCCTGTTTTAATTCTTATTGGGTATAAACCCAGAACTGGAGTAGCTGATTATATATTTTTATTTTTTGAGGAACCTCCATATTGTTTTACATAGAATTTGGACAAATTTATATCCCACCAACAGCATACAAATGTTTCCTTTGTTCCATGTCCTTGTCAATACTTGTTATCTCTTGTCTTTTTGATGATAGCCATTCTAACAGGTGCAGTGTTAATTTGCATTTCCCTGATGATTAATAATATTCAGCATCTTTTTCATCTCCTTGTTGGTCATTTGGATGTCTTCCATTGAAAAACATCTATTTAATTTCTCTGCCCATTTTTCAAGTTTTATGTTTGGTTGTATATGTGATTAATATTTACTAATATCAATTAAAATAGAAACTGTATATTTCAGATAACAACACTAACATTGTGTTTTATGAAAATAATTCATGGGTCCGAGTAATCTAGGGATGGAGTGTGAAGCAGCGGGTGGTGTGGGCCTGCCTGAAGAACCATAGCCACTGGACCCAGGCCCATTAAGCCTGTGATCTCTTGGGTGTTAGTTCACGCTGCAGTCTTTAGCAAATGCATAAAATCTCTGCTCCCTGAAGCCTGTCCCTCAGAGTCCTCCTGTGACTTATCACATTTCAGTCCATGAGGACTCCATCTGGGCAGGTGACTGCTGTATTGCTGTGAAATGAAATTTCAGGAGAACAGTAGTGTCGAGGTCACAGGGCCTAAGATACCTGGTTGAAAGTGTAAGGACTTTATCAGGAGTTAAGCGGGTAGAATGGGAGCAGAGATGGCAGAGGGGTGCTTAAGCCAGATGGTTTGTCAGAGTCGATTTTATGCACTCCTTTCAAACTGGATACTTAGGGACATCATGTTGGAAGTTTCAAACTGAATACTGGAATATTTCTACTGAGGAATTGGGAACACTACAAAACAGAGCTTTTATTTTAAGAGCCGTTTTATCAGCACACCACTAGACCAGGGTAACGGTGGCATTTCCTATCGATTTTGGTTTCCTGCAACTCCTCCAGGAGGATGACTTTCCTCGGGTGCTGCGTATGCTCACTGTGATTGTGGCCACGGACTGACTGGAGGGCGTTGCTGCCCACCACAGACACGTCCTCACACACCTCTTCTGGGCTCTGCTTATGTGACTTTATTACCAGTACGGTTTTAGCCATTTTTTAGGGATAACAAGCAATGAAAATAGCAGTGCCTTTTCCTACTCTGGAAATTAAATTTGGAGGTGATGGGAGTAAAACCTGGAGGGTGAGGGAACAAACGGTTATGTGTACTCATTATGCTGGGCACTGAGCAGGCACTGGATAAATGCAAAGATGGAGATGATAGTTTACCTGTTTCTGATCCCCTGAATGTCTGCACATCGCACTACCTGTGTTCTGCAGCAAGCTCACATCCTGCAATTCGCTATCAAGTTAAACATCCTCTGAGAGGATGCAGAGAGTTTAGAACCGAGAGGTTTGTCCTGAGTGAAAATTGTTCCCTTTACAAATAATAGTTTTTGCCTTCTCAGGGTAATTGGTTCTCTGTCCACCAAACCATATGTGTTTCTTCTGGAATTTGAAGCAGTTTAACTTATTTTCTGTCTTCTCCACCTGTCCTTACAGTTTGGGCCTGCTTGCCCTCTATCCATGTTAGCACCTGGATATTACCAAGGAAGCAAGTATCAAAAGCTGGTGGAGTTTCAATCAAAAATAGTTACAAAAGCTTTGTAGTATTGTTCCTGCCCTTTATTCTGTGATAAAGGGGATCTGTGAGCAACTCACTGAAGGGCTGCCTTCAGTACACTAGCTCACCCCTCCCCAGGCCCAGAGAGGGTCGCAATTTCATTCATTTAGAAAGGGCTCTTTCATTTAACCCATTCCAAAGTTGAGAAAATTAAGAATACTAAATTTAGAAAAAGCTGTACATTCCAGCTCTGTTCTTTGAGTTGTAACAATATTCTTGAGCCTAAAATCCCCGTTCTGAACAACTAATATGACAATCCCTATTTGTCTCTGTTGGCTAAAGAAATGAAAGGTATTTTATGAACAGTATTTTTACATCAGTGTCTAAAATGGAAAAGACACTTTAAAAAGCATGCTTTTTATATCTTATTTCAATTTGATAGTAATTAATCAATAACATCAATTTCTCTTTCTAGGGAAACCTTCACTATTTCATCAAATTCAAATTTTGCTCTTTTTATACCCTTTCTATCTTCCATGTAGCTGCCAGATAAATATATCCAAAATGTTTTCCAATTTCAAAACATTTCAAGGATGACCACTTGCCCTCAAATGATGAAGCCATACACTTTAATTTGTATACAGAGCTTGTGTACTTTTGTTGCCTTCCTTTTTCCCAGTTGCTCCAAATTTGCAACATCACAACCTCAAAGGCTAAAAGTCAGTTTAACCTATTTTGCATTTGTCATTAAATTTCCAAATGACTCCACTCTATTCATTACTTGGGACTCCCTGAATCTGACAACGTCGTACTGTATCTTCAAAGCTATGTTCAGACATGAAATCATTCTTAAGACTATTATAAATACGACTAATGAAAATTACCTCTGTGTCTTTATATTAACTTTTTCTTGTATAACTTGTATGTTGACTTAATCATTCAATTTTTGCTAGTTATATAAATGTTCTAATTTAGTTATAAACTTAGGACCTCACCGAGAAAACAAACCCCATATTATTCACCTTTATAGGTTTTGCCTCATAGTTCCTGGAATGCTCGGAATAGTCAGGTAAGTTTGCAAGCCCTTTGAAAGCACAAAGAAAATCTTTGAACATAAATTGTGTTTACATCTTTGTGAACAGGAAGTGAGCTTCCAAGTTATCTAATCCAGGCATGAATTCCTTCAACCACACTGGTGTCAGCCACACAGTCTTCCGCTTGCTGGGCATCCCTGGCCTTGAGGAGCAGCACATGTGGATGTCCATCCCCTTCCTCATTTCCTATGTCATCGCCCTGCTTGGGAACAGCCTGCTCATCTGTATCATCCTCACAAAGCGCAGCCTCCATGAGCCCATGAACCTCTTCCTCTGCATGCTGGCTGGAACAGACATTGTCCTCTCCACGTGCACAGTGCCTCAGGCCCTGGCCATCTTCTGGTTCCGTGCTGGGGAGATCTCCCTGGGTCGCTGCATCACTCAGCTCTTCTTCATCCACTCCACCTTCATCTCTGAGTCAGGGATCTTGCTGGTGATGGCGTTTGACCGCTACATTGCCATATGCTACCCACTGAGATACACCACTATTCTTACACATGCTCTGATTGGGAAAATTGGCATGACCATCTTTATAAGAAGTTATATTACAATTATCCCCATCATATTTCTTTTGAAAAGATTGACTTTCTGTCAAAATAATATTATTCCACACACCTTTTGTCAACATATTGGCTTGGCCAAATATGCTTGCAATGATATCCAAGTGAACGTATGGTACGGATTTTTTGTCCTACTGTCAACAGTTGTCTTAGATATTGTGCTAATTTTTTTTTCCTATGTGCTGATACTCCAGGCTGTCTTCCGCATCCCATCCCAAGATGCTCGTCACAAAGCTCTCAACACATGCGGCTCCCATGTCTGTGTCATCATCCTCTTTTATGGGCCTGGGATCTTTACTACCCTTACTCAGAGGTTTGGACACCACATTGCACCCCATATCCATGTACTGCTGGCCAGTGTCTGCATTCTGGCTCCTCCTATTCTGAACCCCATCATTTATGGGATCAAGACCAAACAAATCCAGGATCAGGTGGTTCATATATTATTTACAAAACAAAAATAATGGTGGGTCTGGAAGCTGATTTTCTTTTTTTGCTAACAGTTCTATTCTCAGATCAAGTGAGCACCAGTATATGGCAGCAGGTGAGAAACTAGTCAAATAACTCCATTTGGTGTTGGTGTTGGTGTTTCTAGTGACATTGCATCTCTAAGAGTTTTGTGCATGTTTCTTACAGAGCCCCTACTTTGTCAAGAATATCATTGTTTTGGGGTCTTAGCTTTCTTACCCATACAATTGAGAACTAAATTAGGACACCTCTCTAAGTGCCATGTACCTTTATTATTCCATACTGAGAATTAGATGAGCTGAATCTTGCCAGTGATTTCTTTTCTGGCAATTGCTGAACTGGTCTTTCCCAAGGTTTTCAAGTTTTGAACAACTTTACTCTCATGAAACACAACATTCCTCCAGGCTTTCTCTCCAGTGTCTCTGTATTTTCAACTTTCTGTTTTTACTGGATCAATCCCACCCTTTTACATCTTTTTTCTTCAGCATAAAAACATACTCAAACAAAACCTTCAAAATGACCCCTGAATCTGCATTCCCCTACAGTGTACTTCCTTACTCTTTTCTGTCATGGAGGAAACACCCAGAATGGTTTGTCCACTTTCAGGCTGGCATCTCCTCATTTTCTCTTGACACCCCTCCTCTTCAGCACCATCCCCTCCATCTCATCCAGACGGCCCCTGTCAGTGTCATCACGGTCCCCACACTGCTCAGTCAACAGTCACAACGTGTCCTCATATTATCTAACGTGTCATTTTGTTACCTTCAACCATCTTCTCTCCTTAAAAGTCTGTCCTCCTCCCACTCTCCTCCTGTTCCTAAGGTCTTCCCGGCTGCTACTGAGACTCCTTTGATGGGTTACCCTCATCTCCTTGACTTCTTGAGCTGGATTCCCTCGGGCTTCGTCCTTGAGCCCCAGCTCGCCCCCCTGTGCAATCACCCTCTAATCTCATGCTTGCCCTGGGCTCTAGCTATGCCTCGTCAACATGCTAAGCCTTCACTATTTATTTCACAACCTCTAATTTGATCACAGACTTGTATTTCTAACTATCTGCTAAGTATCTACTTGTGGTCTGACAGGCATCTCAAATGAAACATGTCCAAAAAAAAAAAAAACTTTTCCACCAAACCTCTTCCAACAGCAGTCTATCTCTTAGCTTTTAGATGTGATTTTATTCTTCCAGTTGTTCAGACCCATACCAGATTCTTACCTTTCTGTTACAAACTATAAGATTCAACATCTTTCTGTTGGGCTCTCTCTTTTGGCCTTACAATCCCACATTCACACAGTGCCTTTTTCATCCTATTATTATATTTTAACAGCCATATTGTAATACAATTCACATACCTTTAAATTCTTCCTTTTACAGTGTAGAATTCAGTGGTTTTAAATATATCATAATGTTGTGCAGCCATCACCAGAGTCTAATTCCAGATCATTTTCATCTCCCCAAGAATCACCCTAGTACTTCACAGTGATGCTGTCTGAATAGTAAGAGGACCTTCTTAATTTTCTGGTCAGTGTGCCTCAGTGTCACTCCAGAGTAAGAGCCAAAGTCCTTCCAGTGATTCTGAGGCCCTAATGATTTTGCCTGAGGCCCCCTATCCTTA